GCTTCAATATTGCATGGTTTCTCTTATATGAATAACCCAAAATATAAAGAGCAAAATAAAAGACACATAAAAACAGGAAATAAGATCAATCTTTTGCAAATTGGAGGGGGACAGAGATGGAGGGAGGGTGGCAGGAGGGGAGGAAGAGGGGAGGAGAAAAGAATTGAGGTGTGTTATGTGCATGTACCAACTCCCCTGAGGAATGCCATCGATTTGGTAAACATGCACTACTAAAAAATAAAACAGCTGCTCAAAAACATGCACTACTAAACAATTCATAGCAGCAGAGGAGATGGTGGTTACCAACATCTGGGAAATAAGGGGAATAGTGAGTCGTTGTTTAAACAATACAGTGTAAGTCCTAGAGAGCTCTTGTACAGTATGCTACTTATAATGAACAGTACTACAATGTATATCTGGAAATATGCTGAGAGTAGATGTGCTTAAGCATTTTTATCACAGCATAATTTTAGCTGTTATCACACATCAAGGGCAATTTCCTTTTTGCTGCTACAAACTATACTCTTCACTGGGCTTTTGCTCGAGTAAGTCCCTCAGGGCCCTTCCTAGCAGTCAGTCCAATAAACCAGAGTACATGTGTACCAATTCTTTCAGGGCAATTATGAGATTGCCCTCTGAAACTCTGTACTGGCTGTAAGCTCAGTTCCCATACCTTTACCAACTATGTTTTAACTTTTCAACTTTGCTAATCTAACAGATAAAAAGGAACTGAGGCTACAAACCTTGTATTTATTGTCTTAAACCCGGGCATCTCAGTTGATCAAATTCCAGTTCTAGGACTGTTCCCTGGGAGAGAACACAGAACGGAGGGCAAGGTATTCAGCCAGTCTAGTACGACTTCAATTTTTACTTTTTTGGGGGGATAAATAAAAACGAATACATGCTCACTCTTAAAACTTCAATAACTTAACTCCTTTTCACTCTTCGCCCTAACTACTATCACTGACAGGGTGGCACATCTCCTGAACACTTTAGTTAAATATTTTTAATAATTTAAAGCCAAAATGTGAAAGCTGTTTTAATAACAAGGGAATGTGCATGTAGTCATTATTCTTTTCATTTATAACACAGATGAATAGACAATAACAACTCTCTTGTGTTTCACCTAACAATCAATATTTTACTTAACTGCTTTTTAGTTCTTCTGCTGAAGCATTTTCAAATATAACATTCATTTTCCCATCAAATATTTCAGTATTTGTCTCTGAAAATTAAAGACATTTTCCACAATAACCTCCCAATAAAGCCATAATCTCCAGGGGTGTAGTCATTTTGCAGTTGGGAAGGGGACCAAGGTGTGGAAAGGAGCAAGGGGAGAAGGAGAAATAAAAAGAACTAAGATGTATTACATGTATAGACCAACTCACCACAGTGAATGTATTTATGATGTATTGCAAATATGGACTCATAAAAAATTTAAAATAAAGCCATAATCTCACAAGAGTAACAGCTTTCTTAGAAACTTTAGAAACTCATATAATTTGAAATAATTGGAGATTTTATATCAAAGTTAAACAGAGAGGGTACAGATCTCCCACACGCTCCTCACTTGCATTCTCCCTTTCACAATATCCCTAATATGGAGACAAATTTTGACCCTTGAGAATTAGCTGCAGATGCCTGTGCACAAGGGCGTTTTCCTCCGGGCACATTCTCACTTTTGTCTCCTTCCTTGTCCTTCACATTTCCATATGATTCAAGTACTACCTGTTTTATTAACAGGAAGAAAAAAACGAGATGCGCAAAACATCACTTCAGTGCTACATCAGCCAGAATCAATTTCCTGCCAGGACCCGAGGTGTGGAGGACACGGACTCCCTCCACGAGCAAGTGCAGCCAGCTCTGATCAACGCCCCCCCCCATGCGCCTCTCTCCATTTGAATTACCATTACTTCCTGGTTTCATTTTACAAACTCCTCAGTGCAAAGACCAAGGTTCAAGTCTTTCTAATAAGCTTTATGCAGCAACTGTATCCCAGTAAACATTTCTGGCCCTAGGATGGTGACTCAAGGACGAATCACACTTTACTGTTTGGTGCTGGGATGGAACTCAGGCCATTGTGCACTAGGTAAGTGAACTACCACTGAGCTATATTCTCAGAAACAGAACCACATCTTGAATGCTAAAAAGTCCTACCCAATTGTTTCCCACAAAGCCTTTGCCCATAGGTTCCCCTACCAGTGCAATTAAAAGGCTACTTCTGGGTTGCACCAACAATAGCTATCCCCCATCACAACCCAGGTGGCTCAAAACATACAGTTAGCAGTGATGCCAGTTGTCTTTTACAAAGTCTTCTAGTGCTGCTGAACATGAGTATGTTCAATTACAGGAGTGTGTAAGAATGATTCTAAGAGGCTCTTTAACTCAGTGAGGGCCACAGTTAATGATATCTTTTCCCAAATGAATTACTTTGTCTTTGGCTAAGAGCTAGCCCATGGATATCACACTCATTAAATGAGTTTTTGGTGCTCATGTTATTAAAATGAAGCACCATCCAGTGTGGTAGCAGGCACTGGGAATCCTAGCTTTTCATGACACTAAGACAGTAGTAGTATCATTTGAGCCCACAAGTTTGAGACTGGCTTGGATAACAAAGACCCTGTCTCTTAAAAACCAAACCAAACCAAATATACATCAACACTGAGCCCTGGTCCTACATTGGGCAACTGGAATGGGTGGGGAGGTAGCAGGGGTGTCCTTGGCCATGCCTGGAATGGGTGTGTGAGCTTCCTGCCTTTCTCCAGTTCACATTTCACACACCTATTTGACCCACTGCTTTTGCCCATAACACTTGCAGTGGTCAAATGGTGGCCAACACTGAACAATATGCACATAGTGGAATTCCCAGAACCTGTGGATGTGACTCCCAAAGAAAAGGTCTTTGTGGATATAATTAAGTCCTGAATCTTGAAATAAAAGATGATTTGAGATCATCTATCAGTCCTAAACCCAAGAGTTCTTAGACACACAGAAGAGATTTGATAGAAGCAGCAAGCATGGTGGCACACACCTATAATCCCTGAGGCAGAATGGTTTCAAGTTTGAAACTAGTCTGGATTATGTAGTGAGATCTTGTATTAAAAAACAAACAAACAAACCTCCAAATTAAACCAGGCATGGTGGTACACACCTTTAATCCCAGCACCTGAGAGGTTGAGGCAGAAGGATCGTGAGTTTGAGGCCAGCCTGAATTATGTAACCAGACTCTCACCCCCTCCCATCTCCCCCAAATAAATCTGTGCATGGTGGCTGTTAAATTTATATTTAGATGTTCTCTAAGAACCTCATGCACTCACAGGCAGGGATTTTGAAAGGTGATTAGATTATGGAAGTTTATAGCTGTCTTGCTATTAAGAGGTGGATCTAGTTGCAAGAGACAGGTCACTGGAGGTATGACCTCTCTTCCCAACTCCTCCCTTTACTCTCTCTCTGATTCCTGACTTCTATAATGTGAGCAGCTATCCTTTCACCATGCCCCTGTGCCATGATGTATTGTCTTGGAGCCAATGGACCATGGACAAATTAAAGTTTACAAACTGTGAGGCAAAATAAACTTCTCCTTTAATTTGTGGAGGTGGGGTATTTTGCCTCAATGACAAAGAAAGTGACTAAAACAGTGGTGCATACCTGTAACCCTCTGGGAGGTTAAGGCAGGAGGAGCATAAATTCAAGTCCAGCTTGAGGAATTTAGCAACTTGGTGAAATCCAGTCTTAAAATAAAAACAGAAAACAAAGTCTGGGGATGTAGCTGAGTACAAATGCCCCTGTTCAATATGGGGTGGGGGCAGATAATAAACCACCTATAATCCTAGCACTAGAATGGGACAGAAGAATAATGAGTTCAAAGCCAGCCTAGGCTCCTGGAGATGCAGCTTTAGATTGATGTGACATCTCCCTGCCAAGGAACACCAAAGATTGCTGGTAATCACTGCAGTTTGGCAAGAAGCAAGCAATGGATCCTCATCCCTATTCCTCTCAACCATCACCACCCTCAGTCCTTGGGAGGGAGGTGACATCTTGATCTTAGACAATGGCCTCCAGAACTGGAAGAGGATAAATTTGTTTAAGACACCTCATTTGTAGTAATTCATTACGGCAGCCGTGCAAGTGAACACAGGGCATTAGGCTATTCTCTTTGTTTTGAAATTTCCATAATTTGCAAAAAGACCAATGACACATTCTTCATGGATGAAGAAAGGCTGTGGCAAGGTGGCAGAGACCTTACACACGGATTCGTGCTAGTGTGGCTCAAGGTCAAAGTCGCATCCCAGCTCTCCCATTAAATGAGTCCCTGGCCCTCCTTCTCAAGTCCTCTCAGAATAAGGGCTTCTGGACCTTTCCACGGATCATCCAGATGGCACCTGTCACCTTACACTATCTGTCATTCAGCTTTCAGTACACCAATGCAGAGGCCTCCCAGGTCTTCATCCTGCCCATCTAAACATGTCTCCTCACAGAACTCTTCCTGTGTGGACTTCTTGTTGCCACTCTGCTTAAAACCAGGGCCCAACGGTACATGGAGGAAATGTGGGCAGAGAGGGCGTGGGTAGGAAGAGGCCGAAGGGGAGCTGACCTCCTGGTGTGGAAGCGCCTCCACGGGAAAGACAGAGGTAGGGGCCCTTTGGGGCTACCACGACTAGTAAATGGAAGGAAGGCTTAACCACTTACCTAGGACGGGAAAGGGGTCTCACTGAACAGAGCCTAGCCCGGCCTGGCCCACTCACGTGGAGTCAGCGTGCTGCCAGCAACAGAACCTCACCTTATCATCTGCAGCCACCCCAGTGAGTACTCACAAGGCCTGACTCCTGAGGCTATGTCTGCACCAAATCTTCCAGAGGTGAACTAGTAACCCTATGGTGATTTAAGACCTGACATACCTCAAAGCCATCAGGTCCCCCACCCGAGAAGACTCTAAGGGCTTTGTCTTTCAGGCTTGGCTGACAGCAGCCCCACCCTAGCCACTCAGAGGCATGCAGGCAGTGTGACACAGAGGGTTTATTTTGGCTGTATATCCGCCCATTACCCCACACCTGGGCTCAGCAAGCCCGTGTGTGACAAGTACCCACTTCCGTTTCCAAGTCCACACCCTGGCTGGCCAGCGGGCTCACTCAGCACTCAAGAACACTCTCTTGCGTGAAGTGTTTGTATAGGGGTGCCAGCGCCACTCCACGTCTGCTGTAGCCTCTTGCTCCAGTGTACCCAGGCGAATCATGTACACTGCAGAGAGAGAGAGAGCGAGGGACATTATCACCTGCACAGAAACCTCTACTCCATTGACTTCCCTATGTGTGGAAAAAAGCCCCAAACTTACACTTCAGCTCAAAGCGAGGCCCGACCTCCGTCAGTTCTATGTTGCGGTGGTCGGTCTTCTTGTAGACATGGTGCCTGAGAAGCCAGAGTAGGAGTATGGGTTGGAAGTAGCTACAGATCAGCCATAGCAGTGCAAAGGACACAGGTCACAGGAGCAACTCAGGCCGAACCCATGGACCCACCGGAATGAGATGTAATCGTCCTGATTTGCAAAGGTAATAACCCGGTGGGTGTCATCTTTGGGCACAGGGAATAGGTAACGCAGGATGTCAGAGACCTGAAGCACAGGGAAAAAGTGGCAAATGCTTGGCCTAGTCCCTAGCCCTCACCCCAAGATCCCCAGACTTACCCGTTTGCCCAGGCGAGAGGAGAAGCCATGGAAGATGAGATGAGGCTTAGCCTCTGACATGGTTCCCAGGTCTGGGATGTCATGCCGCATGACAACATTACACAGTGTGAAGTAAGCAGTGGGGCCAAATGGCAGGTGGCTGACAATGAGTCCCACTGTGGAGGCCAGGCAGGCGGTCAGAGACAATGTCTCAGGCCACTCCCAGCCTTCTATCTGTCCCACCAACCTTACCCGGTGTGCCTCGATGTTCATGGACAACTAAGAGGTCAGTGACCCCGTTGGCTTTGCAGGCTCTCACCAGTGCCCCCACCTCATGTCGGCCTCTGTTCATGCGCTGGGCACCAGGGAACACCAGCTTCAGTTCCTACACATGACGACAGTGTCCCATTAGGCTGGGGCCACTGATGCCAGGCATCTCCTCTCATTGCCTGCCAACTGGTACCTTTGCAAACATCTTCAGGCGGGAACTGGGATCTCGGGAGGTAGTGATCATAATCTTGGGATCCTCAACCCCTGCCCATCGATATTCATCATCAACATGGCTGGTCACACCTGTCAGGAGCACAAGGTGCAAGAATGTGACACTGTCTTGAAATGCTACCTGGAAGCAGCAGATCTGTTTGAGAAAATATTCAATGATGTGAACATGCCATACTCATACTGGTCAAGAGGGCAGCCATCAGCCCACTGGTTACAAGTACAAAGAGACCTGAGGAATGGAATCTCAGTGTTTGGAAGATTTTGCTGAGACCTACTTTCTGTCACAACAAATACCTATAATGTTTATGATGCCTACTTGTTGAATAATGCAATGAATAAGACATCTGGGCACTAAAGATGTGGTGTGCTGGGGATACTATCCTGCCCTGGTGGACGCTGCAGTGGGAACGACAATAAAGAAAGTGAGATTAAGTGGAGGAGCTCTACTGTGTTTCACAAATAAACTGGAAGTACTGAAGGAAAGCCCCTGTGGTGCCACCTGTACAGGCATAAAAGCTTCTAGAGGACAGTTCAGGAGCAGCTGCCATGGACAGTTTTCTTAAGTGGGGAAGTGCCCTTTGTGTCTGGGAAGGGAATGGATGCCACTGGGCAGAGGAGTCAGCTCAGTGTTGGGAGTTACACTGTATAGTACCTTCACCTCCGGCGTCATCAAACTCCAGGGACTTCTGTAAGGCCAGAGCCTCCCGGCGTAATTCAGTGGGAATGATGCGGTTTTCTGCAGGGAAAAGACAGAGGGGCGAAGTGAAAACCAAGTAAGAAACCCTCAGTTTATATCACACTTAAGCAGGAAAAAAAATTTTTTTCCAGCTATGATCCCAGATAGGATCCAAAAAGGAGTTTCATAGCCTCTTTGTTACCAGCCACTTAAGACTCATACTCAGGTTTGCCTTCTGGAAGCTGACCAAATCAGAGAAGGCTATATATTTGGGTAAAAAGGAAAAATATATTTAAAGTCAGCTCTCAGCAGATGGAGGGGCCCATATTTCTCAAATCACCATCTCAGGCTGGGGATTTAGCTCAGTGGTTCTGCTGCCTGCCTTGCAAGTGCAAGGACCCGAGTTCGATTCCCAGTACAAAAAACAAACAAAAGAAAACCCTTCCAATCACCATCTCACCATCCACAGGTGGGCAAGGTCTTTACAATACGGAATAGAGGGGAAGGGGAACACAGAGAGATACAGAAATGCACATGTCCACATTTATCACTTTTGGCGGTCTTCAACTTCTGTTCCCTTTCCTGTGGAAAGGATACTGGGCTCCAGGTTTCCTCTTGTCAGCACCTGCATACTCTAGTTCATTCATCTGGGTTCCTCGAGGAGCCCACCTTTTTCTGAAGGAAAACCAAACCAAACCAAACCAATCCTAACTTTTAAAGTTCCATTTTGCAGTGACAGATACACCTTTGGGTTTTACAGAAGCTTCCTTTATCTTCCTGTGTTAGCCTCTTAAGGCACTGTATCAACCTGAAAAGGGTATGGATGGCTGGGAGGTAGGTCAGCCGCACAGCACCTGCCTGGCAAGCAAGAGGTCCAGAGTTCGATCTCCGGTACCAAAAAGTGAGGGACAGGGTGGGGAAGGGCGATCAAGCTGTAAAACTTGGAAATGCGGCGTAAGTGACAAATAATTAGTACCAACACACGAAAGAAACACTGAAAAGCCAGCAGGAAGCCCCAACAGGCAAGGAAAACAGCAGGTAAATATCGAAAATACGTGAGCCACAGTAATACACGTTTTCTTGGCCCGCCGGGGCCAGGCAGCTGTACCTTCCAGAGCGCGCCGGACCTTCTCCTTCCTTTCCTGAGCGGTGCACTGCGCCTCCTCGCGGGCCTTGCGGTACAGGTATTCGCGGCGCAGGCGGGCCTCGCGACGCAGCTAGACAAAAAAGGAACAGCTAGCCAGATCAGTGCGAACGACTCTGGAGGACCAGAGTCCCAGGCTCAGACATCTCCTTACCATCCTGAGGGCTGCTTCCACGTGAGTCTGGAACTACTGGTGTCACCAGCGTCTGGTAGCCCTCGCTTCCGCCCTCAACCTGGAGGCTTCACGGCGGAAGTCGTCATAAAGGCGCGACCCAGTTCCTCAGAGCGTGGTCGCTGGAGAAACCAATAAACTGTATTACGTTTTCACGTGGCTTCCCGCAGCCTTTAGTAAAGATGTCTGCCCACAGCCTCACTGTTGGCTACTTCGGGGGAGAATGGCCAATTTGTAAGCCGGTGAACAGCTAAAACAACCACAATTGTGGCTCGAAACAGCCATCAAGTGTAGAAACGGCACAGCGAATAACTGTTAGTCTTACAGAATGTGTACCTTCCAAAACTGTTTAAAGCCGTTGCTCCATTTAAAAAGTTGCCATCCAGCTTTGTATTCTTCCATAGGCTGCCTTTAAAGTTTTAAAAATTCATAGCTTCTGGAAGCGATAGGAACCAACCTTTACAACCACCCCCCAGACAGTCGGTTGACCGGCTACTTGGGACTAACAGGAGCTATAGGTTGCTCCGCGTTGCTTGGGGGGGGGGG